TTTGTCTGTGCTATGTGACACAATAATCCTTTTGTTTAAGACAGCTCAGATTGTCCCACTGTGGGTCTTTTGATACACAACTCCATGTGACCATGTGCATCATATCAGGGCTTCTTTTGCTGGCTTCTCCACCTGGCCAGACTGCACTGTCATGGTGCTCTCTTAAATATCTTCCTCCCAGTGAGCTGGGTAAAGACAGCTCCCGACTGCGCACAGCCTTATTTAATCCCCTCTGATTTGCCTCAAATGTTGACATCTTACCTAGTCAGCGTTCCCTCAGTAGGACTTCTTGATGAGATCATATGGCAGAGTGAACAGGTCCTGTCTGTAGTTCCATATTGAAACCCCAGCCCAGTGCAGCGCTCTGGTGAAGAGTCAGACTGGCACCACGTGCTTTGACCTTCACGCTTGCAGGGACCTGCACCCACAGCAAATCAGATGAGGATTTGGACGTATCAGGATGTGTCAAGAATGCTGTGGCTTGACCCAAGGTATATGCGCCAATGATTCACATTAATGAGTTACTGAAGATCTCCTGGTACTTCTCACTGTCCCAGGGATGTTTACCTTGCTGTCCTGGCTGCTTTCCATCCTGGCTGCTTTCCATCCTGGCTAACAGCATCCCACCAGGGACTGTAAATCCTGCCCTTGCACAGCCCTGCCTGTTTCAATGGTATACACTATGTGACATCTCCTGACTTACGCTGTTTTTAGAGCTGAGCCTTATTTCACATTCCAAAGTCACACAGACACATCCTCTTAACCTCCTCAGCAATAATTCCTGCAAATGAGAGTACCCACACAGAGAGACACTCAATATTTTCTAGCACATTAATCAAATAACCATCCAGTTGTTGCCGTATGTGTTGGAAGTGGACATGTTGTCAAATAAAATAATTTTATAGATTATCCTCTGTACTTCCCAGATGGGGAATTTAGCAACTTCATGTGCACAAAGTTCTTTAGGAGAAGATCGATGTCTATTCATTTCATCTTCTGTTGCTTACTCAGGGAAATCTCATACTTAATGTTGCTCCCCAGAGGAGCTTTTCCATCGCTAACTTTTAAACCCGGTGACTATTTCTAAGTGCATGTTGAAAGGAGAGCCCGGACCACCATCATCTGAGGGCTGTTGGTGGCAGCTTGCAATGACCCCAGAGAAAAAGGAGCAAGCAAGCAGCTATCCTGTACGGCCAGATGTTCTCCGAAAACACTGGCTCTCGGCTCGCCCTGCAGTGTCACAGCCCAAATCAAAAGCATTGCTCAGTCTGCTGAAAACACCACTGAGGCCTGAATTAAAGACCTTTTCCCACTAATGTACCCATGCAGGGGTTGAGATTGGACTATGTCATGGCTTAGTCCTGGTACTGGGGCTTTGTGGTTTGCGGAGTGGCTCTTCGCTGCCAGGAGAGGCTTTTGGATGACCTCTGTTGTTCTCCACTTTTGAGCTGTCTGAGGTATGTACGTCTTGGTCATGATCAAGCTGTCAGAGAGAAAGGGGAGAGCTGGAAAGCATCCTCCTTTCCCCATGTGGAGAGACCAGAGGCTGAGGAATGAAAGCTGCTCAGCTGAGCAAGGTGGGGTTCAGATCCCTCGCTTCGCATTGTGGTGAGCATGCTCCTCGGGGCTGCTGCGCTGCCAGCCCCTCTCGTGCCTGCCTCTGCCTTCATTGATTTCAAGAAGCTGTCAGGATGTCCTTGCAGCAAAATGTTCGCAAGCCTTCTGCTCCCGCATGCTCTCTGCCTCTCGGTGTCCTCCTGTCACATCTCTCGCATTAACGTGATGTCTTCCTGGGGTGGTGTTATGCTCCAGCCCTTCTGCCCATCCATCTCCTCTGCTCTCCATGCCTTCCGAGGAGGTAGCTCTCAGTGTGGCTGCAGGTGAGAGATGAGATTGCGCTGGAGCAATCTTTGTTTTGGCCTCCAGATGATTTATGACAGCTCAGGACGCAGCTGTATTTACGGTTGCTTTCATAGCCCTGGAGAGGAGCGAGATACTCGCAGTGGCTGGGGAAGCTGCAGAGCCTGCGAAAGGGCAGCCCCCACCAGCCATGGCGGGCTAGGAAGGGTGGCTTGATGGGCCACTGCAGCTGCCCTCTGTCAGCGCTGACCTTTTCGTGGTGACAGTCACCAGAGCAGCCATCCAGCTGAGAGAAGGGCACTTCCCCTCAAGGGAGCAAGCCCAGCCCTGCGCCCCCATCCTGGCAGGCTGCAGAGCGACCTAGGAGCAGGGATGCTGCTCTTCCCTTTGCTGCAAAACCCCAGGAAAGTTTAACTGCTCCTCGTTACGTGGCACTGGGTCTGTGAGCCCTCACCCACCTCCCCGTGTCACTGCACAGTCCCTGCAAACCTCTGCCGTGCTTCTTTTGTCCTTGCATGGGGAGGTCTGGCAGCAGGCTGGCTTTGGAGCAAGAGCAGGTGGTTGCTGCGGTTTGGCTGGAGCCCTCCATCCTACACCACCCCACTGCAGGTCCCCTTGCCACACAGCCCATGCCTCTGGGCTCCTGTGCTGGGTCCCCAAAGCTTTCATGGTGCAGTGAACCTGCTGAGCACTCACCACCTCTCAGCAAAGCTGGAGAGATTGGGCACCTCCTTGTCTTTTGGGATGCAGTCAGATTAGGTGAGGGGTCCAGGGCCCTGCCTGTGTCCATGCAGGGCACCTACAGCTTTGGTCTGTGGAAGTTCTGCCCCTCACCTGTTGTTTCAGAGCCAGGTAAAAGGCCTTTTCTCCCTATGGCTCATAGCAAAGGAGGAAACCAGGAATTTACTGGATTGATCACCAAATTCAGACAACATTTTTTGAAAAGCCACTTCAGGCTTGAGTGTGTGATAACAGTCCAGTTTGCAGCAGAGCTGAGCTTGTCTGGGAGTCCAGAAGGTGTGCTCTCAGTTTCCCGACCCAAGGGGCATTGCTTTTGCAAAGCTAGCATTTTAACTTGTGGCTCTCTATGGATCCTCACCACATTTTATTTCTCTTTCTTGACTTTTTTTTTTTTTTTACATTAAAAAAAGACTACTGTAAGGAAATCTCACCACTGTGGGACTACTTAGTAGGCCATATAGAGCTCTCTGTACTTAACAAAATGTGCATGCAGTGAGTCGTTATTCCTTCAGTCCACTGCTTTGAGTATTCATCGCACAGATGAGGTGCTCGCCTCAGGTTTTCCGTACACACAGCACATGAACGGGTAGATCATCTGCTGGGCATGTGTCCTCATTAAATGAGCATTTCTCCTCTGCTCTGGTACACACACACACCGCTCTTGGAGGTGGGAAAGCCAACTGATCAAAAAAAAAAAAAAAAGAAAAAAAAAGAAAGGAAGAAAGAAAGACAGTGAGAAAGAGAGAAAAGGAAGTTACTATATGAAAACAAACTCAAATGATGTGTATGCATGATATTCATTGCATGAAGCCTTAGAATAGCTTTGTCATGCTACCTAAGCTGGCCCCAGGGAAACAGGCTCTGTGGGTTTTTTTCCAAATTTTTGCAGACAAGCAATACTGAGTCATTTGGAGCTCCCAGAGTGGGAAAACCATAAGCAAATGGTAATTATGAATGGGATTTTAAAAAGCAACCCATGTTCAGGAAGCACTGTCTGCTTTTGAAAATCCCACCTTCTGTTTTGTAGTATATGAGCAAGGAAGAGATCAGAGCTAAGAATCAGCTGTAGGTTTAACTCAGCAAATTGAACAAGCTTTGCAAAGTATCAGGGGCCCAGGCAACACCTGGTTCAAAAGCCAAATTCAGTCAACCACTCCAATGAAAATGCAACAAAATCATCATGACGAAGTCTTAGCAAAGCACCAACATTTACATCAGAGACATGTCATTTAGAATCCTGCATCATTCAGGCTGGATTAGCAGAGATTTAAAGAGTCTAGAGAAGGGAAAGGAGGCTTGCTGGCATTAGCACAGGGTATGGGTAGAGTAAGCACTGGCAAAAACAAAGCTGATTTAGCTTAGAAAGAAGAACTAGAGGTGATTTTTCTTGCATATTCCTGCACTGATGGATATAGCAGAGATTGTCCAAACTCTTCCCCCTGTCCTGTATGCCATCATTTGAAAGACATTTAAAGGATTTGGGACCAAGACCAAAACAAGAGCCAGCACAGGGAATGGGATTTCCACAGTCAGAGTGCAGGAGCAGTTATGACTTGAGGGTCAAATTGTAGGATGACTGGATAATTTTGTGGTCATTAATGATAACAGCATGAATGCAAGCTGCAGTGATGACAATTAATCAACTCTCCTATCCTCCGTTATGAAATGGTGAGTTTTAGGGGGCTGCTGGCAGTGGCAGCGTCCCCAGGCTGGGGATCGCAGCATGGGCTGAGCTGCTCATTCTCTGAAGCACTGTGGGATCAAAAATCCTGGGTATATTTAATGCCAAGGGCTACTGGCTGAGGCACATAGGGATTTGAAGCTTGGGGCTATTTTTCCAGACTCTGCGATTGCCAGTCCTGCTTTTCTCCTTCTTTCCATCCCCAGCCAGGACTCACTGTGCACAAAATGCACCAGGGGCTGATCTGAACATTGAGGATGGGCAGGGAGCAAGGGGAAGTTGTAGCTGCAGGACCATGTGTGGGTACAGAGCTGTGGGAAGCAGGGGGTCATTCACTGGCATGAGGGGCAGCTGGCCTGGTGGCTCTCGGTTATGTTTTTTACATGGAACTGACCTTTTGTTTAAAAAAATGGAGTTTCAGCTTGGGGTTGGGGCTGATTAAAGTCCAGGAGCCCTGAGGTGGCAAGCACGTGCCCATTTAGAGCAGTTCCATTTATATGAACGTGTAATTATATGTGCTCATCAGTGCACGTGCAGTTACATTTAGAGGGTGTGAGATCAGCCCAGAGTAAAAGCACCAATCCGTTCTGTCATGAGGGAGGGATGAGACTGCATGAAGCCTTGCAGCCACCAGGAAAGTGAGGGGAGTGCATCACCTAGGGCTCCCTCTGACGTGAAGTATCTCAGAGCTGCAGGTCGCAGGGTTTTCCCACGGCCCATGCGGGTTGTTGTTTCCCCACGGGTGTTGCCAGTGGAGAGGCAGCAGCACGCTGCCTGTGGCGGGTAGGTGTGCTTCTGTGGCTGCTTTTGTACATGTGTGTGTGTGTGCGTGGTGGGTAGCAGGTGAGGGAAGCCTGCTTGTCTGCTGGCCATCAGACCTCATTGCCCGCATGCTGAGCTATGAGCCACCGTGCTGGTGGCTCCTGAGCCCCCTCACTGGTTTGCTGGGGGATCAGAGGTCTTTTTGTCTAACTTTGCACATTTAAACGGCCTGCCATCGTGCCTTTGGGTTAAACAGAAAATTGGCCAGTGTCACTAGCAGGAGCGGAGCTTTATCCTTTCTCAAGGGCCATGTTGAGCTTGTTCAGTGGGTGAGAAAACTTTGACTCTCTAATATACCCATTCAACTCCTTCCTTCACTTTTGCTTCTCTGTTCCCTTCTCCCCTTTATGACCCTTATTGTTTTTCCATTCACAGCAAAACAGTTCACATCAAGGTAATTGATGATGAGGAGTATGAAAAAAACAAGAAATTCTTCATTGAGCTGATGAGCCCCCGCATGGTGGATATGAGTTTACAGAAAGGTGTAGTACTGGCCCTGCAGACTAACATTAACGTTCTTCTTTCCTCTTCTCTTCCATCTCCTCCCTCCTCTTCCTCTGATGTCTCTCTGTCTCACTCCAACTGCTCTGCCCTAAACACTGCTGTGCGCACACACTGTGTCACATGGTACCCATGGGGTGGCATGGGGAGTGATGCTGGGGCTGGGGAGAGGCCAAGGGGTGAGGGGTGCAGAGAGAGAAGGATGGAGAGCGGTCCCGCTTGTCCGTATTTCTGTGGTGGCTTGAGAGGGACCTTCTGCCATCCCAGCTGGAGGGTCTAAGCAAATTTTGTAGTGTCAGCGGGAAGATGCTGGCTAGAAACACATCCAGCATCTCAGGAGGTCATTGCCCAGCCCCGGTCCTACAGGGTGTCCTGGTCAGACCCATGTTAGAAAAAGACAGGAATTGAGGTCTGGCAGAGAAGCAGCTCATAACTTCTGAGAAGGACTTGGCAAAGGCTGTGCAGCCCCCAGTCTGCTTGCGGTGGAGCAGCTCTGGGAGTGAGAGATGAGGGCAGGGAGGAGCTGACACCCTGCTTTTGTTTGTCCGAGGGCTCAGAGCAGCTGTGTGCATTGCTGGGATGCTGGAGGGAGCCGAGCAACCTGGCAGCAGGGAGATGGGGCACCCAGGCTATTTACATTTGAGCCTCAGAGGTGTTTTAGTCCCATTCTGTTGTCCAAGAGGTCCCAGCAAAGCTGTCCGCTCCTGGGGAAAGCTGCATCCTTGCTTGGGAAACAGATCAAGGGGATAAGGCAGACACTATTGAGGAGAAAAAGCAATAAGATGTGCCATTTTGAAAATGGAAATTAGAACTATCAGCCTCCTTTGCAGCTGACAGAGCTGTAGCCTACTGGCAGAGAGCCACCTCACCCCACTGGGGGACGTGTCTGTGAGTGTCCATCGCTCTCTCTTCTCCTCAGGCTCCAGGCCTAGAGTCCCTGCAGATTTATTAATTAAGAAGCAATATAATTAAGAAGCAATTATCTTCCAGCTAAAATGTAGTGGGTACCCCAGGGTGGTCCCTGGTGATTTCCAGGCAGCCGATACTCTTTCCATTACCATGTGACACTGAACAAAATGCACTGCAGAAGTCACCTTCCACTAACCATCAGCAAGGTCCTTCTTTCCCTCCCTCCTCGCCCCCTTGCCAGCTCCCTCTCCCCCTAACACCCTCCCGCTCCCCAAGGAGCAGCTGTGACAGATGCCACATGTCCAACAGGCAGGCTGACGCGCACCGCCCCGGCAGGGAAGGGTCTGCGTGCCTGGAGCCCACGCTACCACCGCTGCTGCTGCTGCTGCCGCCTCGCCTCCAGCCAGCTGACCCGCTGTACATGGTTGTCTCTCTTGTTGTCCCTACAGGAAGACCGTAAGGGTTAAGATAGTAGATGAGGAGGAATACGAAAGGCAGGAGAATTTCTTCATTGCCCTTGGTGAACCGAAATGGATGGAACGAGGAATATCAGGTGTGAGATCCTTTCTGAAAAAGAATGAAAAAAAAAAAAAAAAGAGAATCAAGTCTCCAAACCCCAAATCCAGAAAATACAACCCTCTTTCTCCTCCTTCCCCTCCCTCCTTTTCTCCTCCTCCTGTAGATGGATCGATTTTTATTACTTTCTGCCCTCCTGTATTCTCGCTCTCACCCTGTTTCGGTGTCATCTGTGCCTTTTAGAGCCCAGCTTACTTCTGATCCTCCTTTTGTGCACTGCTTGAGCCTTGGAGGCTGTATTATTTTTATTGGGTTTCCTTGTCTTGATCTGTTTTTTGTTCTGAGCACACCTTTGCTGTTCTCCCCTCTCCTGCCCCTTTGCCAGGACCTTGGGGAATGTGAAAGGCAAGAGAAGGGCGTAATGCATGGCTGCCCCTTTAGCTCCTCCTGTACGCCCCCTCCCCCCCATCCTTCCCTCTGTTGTTGCCTGCCGGTGGCATTGCCTTGGTGCTCTTGCGTCTCTATGAAGTGTCACGAATATCCCATGGGAGAAGAAGGAAGGTTTGAGGCATCTCGTTTTGCTTTTGTTTGAAAAGTGGTTCTCCATGTCTTTCATCTGAAAAAAACCTCTTAATGTGTCACGAACAATCACAGTCTATCGTGTAGAGGGTGTGGAGCTCTCATGAGGTCCTACTTCATCAGCAGCGAGACCCCAGATCTCCCAGCAGAGCAGGATTATAGTGGGAATAAACCCTGACTTACAGTTGTGCCTTGCCTACATATATCTTTGTCCTTGTCCTATACATGCTTGACATCTTTCTCACTGAGCAAGTCTTGCCATTTGCTTCACCAGCTTTGGGGTGGCCCGGGAAGGCCAAGCTTTAAACAGAAGCACTTTACAAAAGGGAATTCAAGTCCACCTTCTGGGTGTCTGGTATGGAGTAGAGACATGTGTGCCCTTGGGCTTGTTTCTGCTCCCATGTGCTGCTGCAGATGATGGGAGCACCTGGTGGTTGCCTGTGCATCCCACGGCTTTCCCTTGCTGAAACATCTCCTGTCTCTTATCTCGCCAGCAGAGCAGCTGCCCTCTGGCCAGTCCAAGCTCCCACGCATGGCTCTGCAGGATGTTCGGGATAGAACGCAGCCTGCGTTAGCACGACGTCTTAGAGCACCTGTGGATTTGTAAAATGTAAACCCAAAGAGGATTCATAGTTTAATGTCGTTAGCCAGCCTCCTGTGGCCCATCGGCCATGAGGGATGGTCGGTTTCATTGTGTGTAGAGTACAGGCCCTTGGGTTTCACTGAAGTCAACTGCCCTTGAGCGGAAGCAGTGACCAACCTGCCATATGCCATGGTTCTATGTCCCAGCAGTTAATTGCCCTCCAGACTGAAGATGTGAGCACAGCTTCTAGGTGGAGGTTGTCTGGCCTCAGCTTGTAGCCACTAGTTGTTTTCCTACTTCCCTCCATCAGATGAAAGAACCGTATAGCGTGCCACAGCTGCCGTGTATGTACCTGCTCGCTACACCCATATTACGCTCAGATTTCTTCTTGCGAGTTTAAGGAGATTAAGCCCTTTGAAACTGTGTCAGCAAGGTGTTCAGCCCTAGATCAAAGTCTTCAGCCCTAGAATGACCCCAGGGTCTCCTCTCCACATGTGACCCTTCCCGTCCACAGGGCTCCCACCTCCATCTCATCAGGTACAGGAAGAACATCACTTGCCTCTGGTTCTCTCCTGCTTATGCACTTGGCAGCTTGGAGTATCCCACTGAAGTTTCTGCTCAATTGCCTGCTCCCTGTGAGCCCTGCATCCTTTTCTAAACCAGTGTGCTTCAGGATACAGCATCAGGGTTGGGCTGGTTTTTTGTGAAGTCCTGCATTTCTTTTTCCCATAGAGGCCACGTTGCATCTGGCTGAATAAAAACACCTATTTGAAAAGATCCAAATAGCCCCTAAGGTGGCTCACATGTAGAATGTCCTCATTATTAGGACTATGAAGCCAGTTTGCTGTATTGTGTGTCTCTCATTTACACTGGCATCAGTTGGAGTCAGTGGGACTATCTGATGTGCAACAGGCAGAGATGAGGTCAGAGCTAGACTAAATGACCTGCAGCACAGAGCCTGCAGGCCAGCCACTTCCCTCGCTGGGGGTGAGGGTGCACGCTTAGATGGACCTTCTTTACCTGGAGGAAGTAAAGGGCTGCACCGAGGAGGAGACGCGGAGCTCTGGTTGGCCTTGTTAGGGAAAAGTCAGAGTGAGAGCACCGTGGTTTTAAAATCTAAGAGGTGGGAGATTAAAATGCACTTGTAAATGTTGCTGGCACAAGGTGGCACAGTTGCTACACTAATTCCAGGGCATCTGGAAAGATCCCCAGCTCCATAGTGCTGCATGCTGTGGCATCTCCGACGAGCACACCTTGTGCCTGGGATGAAGAATAAGGAGCTACGCGAGGCTTTCCCATGCAGAGCATCGGGAGTGATCAGCAGCAGATGCTGTCACCAGCAGCTTCACAGGGTGCATGTGTGAGCAGCCAGCTCCTGGCAGAGAGGAGGCAGCCGTAGGAAGTGTGTGACCTGCCGTACGGCATCAGGATGGGAGGCTCACACTGACTCCCACACACATGTTCCTGCTGTGGTTGCACCAGCGCAGGGGCAGAGTTGGGATGGTTTATTTATTGCAAAGCACACATACAACTGATGTAGCCCCACAGGCTGCAAGGTGCAAACGGGCTACCGCAGTGTTGTGAGGATGCTGCCATTTCCCCCACACCCACAGACGGGGAAAATCCCAAACCACAGCCACCTAGCTGGGACTTCACTTGGTTTTGTTGCAGTGATGAATGGGCCCCCATGCGACTCACACAGTGAGGGCAAAGCACAGCTCCTGCCTCTCCTGGGAGGTTCAGGCCAGGTTGCTTTTGATGAAGAGTCTCTCTGGGTTTTGGCTCCCCACTTGTTTGTTTCCAGCACTGCAAAAGATGTGGTTTTGTTGACAGTGTGTCCTGGTTTTGTTGTTACTCCTCACTTAACTGTGTCATGCTAAGCCTGCACCTAGGGAGCTGTAGGAGCATTGGATGTTCTCAGACAGCTCTTTGTAGTGTCTTCAAAACACCTCTTCTGGCCCCACTGGGAGCAGGGCCACACTGGGTGCCTCAGCTGACTGGCAGTCATGTTTGGAAGTAATATGCAATCCGGGTTATGCAGAGACAGCCAGTCCATTGCAGTCGTGCCTGCACTATCATAGCTTTGTGCCAAGGACCTGCACTCACTCCAGGACCTCCCTGTGCAAAGGGATACAAGCTAGGTAGCAGTGATGAAATCAGTGATGAAATGTGGTGCCCTGAAGGGAAGGCAGAGCTGACGGCAGGGACGAGCTGTGTGTTCTCAAACCAGCCTGGGGCAGAGTTTGGATGGTTTATTTTGGGATGCAGAACTTGGTCCAGAGCCCCATGCCATTGAAATCCAGCGTGCTGTCCCTGAGGGTACCCACACTGCTGCTGGCTGTGGTGGCAGAGGTTTCTGATACGACACACAGTGGAGGAGGATAGCAGATGGGAGCAGGGTTCGCTACAGTATGGTTGATTTGCATTACTGGCTGTGCTGCCCCATACACATGCTGATAAAAGCAGTTACCTCCAGTCAAGGGAACATCTCCTTGGCCCTGATCAGAGCTGTGGGGCAGAGGGGTGTATCTCCAGGAGGGTCTCTGTGAGGGCAAGAGCTCATCAGGGAAAAGCATCCTATTGGTCTTTCTGTTTGCACCTGCTAGCACCTTACCGGAGGAACAAACATCTCTACTCAGAAAAGTACCTGTGGTGGTCCAAAAACTAATTCCTGTCTTCAGGTTGCTCAGGGCTTGCACATGTGACAGCCACCGACACAGACTTTTGACTGAAACATTTTGCATCATCTGCAAATGCTGCTCCCCACGGTTCACCCCCAAGTATACTAGTGCCATGCTGCTTTGAGCCTTGGGGCACAGTTGTTAACCCTTGCCATGAGGAGAGCTGACCACTTGCTCCTGTTATGTAAATGCTACATCTACAATACCAAACTTTGATTTGCAGCTCATTTATTACTTTTCACCAGTTGCTTTCTGCAGCTGGAGTTTTTCAAAGCCTTTCTGATCATCCAAACAAATCACATCAAGTAGTTTTACTTTAGCATCTCTCTTTGTTGATGTGCTCCAATAACTCAAAGAGATGAGAATAGATCTGAGATGGGTATCTTGCCAGCCTGGACTGTGATGGAGACTGTTCCTGACGTTGTAGTGGCATATCAGATGCAAAGAGCACTGGCAAAGATGGCGCTTGCCGCAAGCTTGTTATATCGAAGGGAACGACTAAAGAGAAATCAAAGAAAGACACATTCTTTGCCTGGGAAAGATGGTAAATGTTGCTTTTCCCTATCCTCCTGGCAATCTCCCAGGTTTCCTGGGGTTTTTTGTCTTCTCCATTTCTATTAAATTAAACTCTGAATCCTTCTTGTCTCACCTTTCCTCCACATGGACTGTCACGTCAACTGAATCCCTGTCTGCTGAGCGCTGCAGGGCTTTGAAACCTCCCAGCACCCTGAGCCACCTTCCTGGCCATCCTTTTTTCAGCACCTTTTTGAAGTGTTCCTGCAGTGAAATGAGTCTTTTCCTTTATGACAAGGTACTGTCCATTGGTTTGACTCTTGCTCTCATGGCAGCTCTGGTATCGTGTCAGCTCACAACTCAGAACGAAGATTTTGCTGCTGTCAGCCCAGCAGGATTTTGGAGAAATACTTTCTTCACACATCAGCTTTCACACTTTTTCCACAGTCCAGGATTACAGGAGAAAAACTTGATTTGCTTTCACTGGATAAAGTCGGTCTTCTGCTTAAATTGTGGTTAACCTTAGTGTTGATGGAACCCAAATGGCAAGTGAGCACAATTTCACTTGATTGCAGAAAATCATGAGAATATCATTTGGAAAAGTATGTTTCATGAGGGTAACTGGGAGTCTGCTCATGAGAATTTAGCTTGTGACACGGCGATGGAAGATTCAACCTCAGGGCTGGTGCACAAAGGCTGAGCCTTGAGGGTTACGCTTTGCAAAAAGGGACTGACATCCTCCATGCAAAATTTTGCTTCAGAAAGCAGATCTCCCACAAGATGTGACCTCACTGGAAACGGGAGCACAGATGGCTGGCGAGCACTATTAAACAGCTTGCTGGCATGACCTGGCTTAGGAAGATTTTATCTGAAGTCCTCTCAGCCCTCCCAGCACTGAGTCAATTGGTGTGGACAAATCTCATAACACGTCTCCTTTTAATCAAGCGTCAGCACCCCTGATGGGAAGGAAAGCTTCATGCCCCAGAGGGAGGATGTGGCTGGGAGTCACAGAGTATGGGTTAAACAGCAAAGGAAAAAGGATTCCTAGCTTGGATTGATCCAGCAAGTTATCTTGTATCAAAACATTGATGAAATTATGTCACTTGGTACAAAGGTCCATGCCTGTATAAGATAAGCTGCATTGATACGTGAGCACGTGTGCTGCAGTTTTCTGAAGTGTGGGCAGATGCTAAGAAACAACCTCTTCCATCAGCTGCTGATGGGAACAGCAAAGAAATGTGAGATTGCTGTTACCTCCTTCCACGAAGGTTTAATAATTTGCTTGCAGCTGTGTGATTAACCCAAACGCTGCTGATTCTCCTGATGGAGAGGAGTCTCTTGGAGTCTGCAAAAGCTTTGCTATTGATTTCAATAATAACAGCATTCAGGTTAATGCTGCAAAATCCCGGCCTTGTTTAGCCTATAAAAAAAGCATGTTTATAGCTCTTCACAGTCCATTAGGGAAACAGTTTGCTCACCTCAGTGAGCAAACCTGGAGGCAGAGCCTGTGGACAGTTACATTTGGAAGATGGGGGATCCTTACCTCTTTGGAGAACTGAGCAGGCAGTTTGCACAGTCACTGAGCTCCTTTGGGTGCGCCAGGGGTGCAGGAAATGTGTTCTCCTTGCCTTTGGCTGCCTGTGACTGCCCTGCTGTGTCTTTGACCGAGGGTCTCTTCAAAGTCCAGCCTCCGCTCCCTCATTTCAGCTCTCTTTGTCAATCCCAGGCCTTTAACAAGGATCCTCTTATCTATGCAGTGGCTTCCTGGAGTCTTTAGGGATATTGATTAGAAAAGATTTATGTTAATAAAGAATGAATCCTGAATAAAGTATGCACAGTGTAGTCAGATCTCTTGTCAAGGTAAACAGCAGAAAAAGGTATTTCACTGTTTAGAAAAAGTCTGGGGCACACATTTAGGACATCTGGTTGCTGTAAACTACAGGATTGCCCAGTTGCTGGTCTGCTTCCATCCCAAGCCTCGTTCCTCTTGGTTTAACCTTCTTTGGCTTCAGTAGAGTTACAGCAGGAGGGAATTCAATTCCTGACCTGTAAGCCACACCAACACGTATGTCACAGCAGGATTTGACCCCGAAGTACACTGAAGACATGCAGATGAAATAGTTTATTAGTAAATAGCTTTTTTAGCAGCTGAATTCAGGTCTAAATTGTCCAGTTTCAGGGGTGGCAGGGGAAGCAGAGTTCGTGCACACAATTTTGACTTTGCCTAGTAAAAACCAGTCCTGCAGGGTCTCCTGAGAGAGTCAGCATCACCTACCTTCTCCACGGGCACACGTGTTTGCCCACATTCATGCCATGCAAGGGTTAGGTATGGGATACTTCAGACTGCTATTTTGGATTTGACTCCAGAGCTAATTTTAGCAGCTCCCTGTAAGAACACACATGTCAAGCCTTTGAGACTACCTGAGATGCCAACAGCAATGAGGTGGCCTGGCTTGGCCCCAGAGGAGCATGATGTGCAGAGCAGGAGTGCAGGAGGGGGAGAGGTGCCCTGAGGAGGGATGGAGGGATGCAGCCTGGGCTGGCGGGAGCAGAGAGAGGCTCGTGGGGTGGGAGCAGCATGGGGGCTGTCAGCGAGGCTGGTACAGGTACAGCGTCCCCAGATGGACTGTCAGGAAACATTACAGGTCAGGGCTAAGGGCACATTAGCAGATGCGTGTGCAGGAAGGAAGCTTTAGTCCGTGAAATCATTTTCTTGCTTGCATGCACAGCATTCACTCAGAAATATAAAGATAAAATAATCCCTTGGCTTTCTGCATGCTGTATTCTTGATGTTTCATTCATAGCTTTATAGGCTTCTTCAAATATTCATGTATCATATCGTAAGTGAAAGGGAGAAAAATAGTGCTTTTGCAGGCTCAAAAGCAAACGGGTAAAAAAATAAACTCAAATCCCAGAGCACTAGAATAACAGTTTTAAAAAACATGAGGAACCAATGCTTTATTTTTCTTTTAATAACCACAGTAGCTTAGAGACGCAGTAATATTTCATTATATTAAATCTGAACACCAAATCGACCCATTGTAATTGTAAAAGGCAAATTCAATTTCTCCACATTGTCTGGAGATCCAGAAGACTATGGAATAGTAAGGAGGCCACAGGGTAGCATGGAGCTGCAACAGGATGGAGCTACAAGGAGACTCAAGATTCATGCTACAAGGGGCAGTGACAAGCCTGTTGGCAGAGCTGCATGGAGGACAAGAGGTGGTATGCGCAGAGCAAACATCCCACTGCTTCTTGTGGCTCTGTGGCACTGTACATGCTGCAGAATATATTCACGAATGGTTACCCCAAAGGAAAACTTCAAAAGGAACTGACCCTGAAACACGAGGGATGCTCAGCAAGGAGCCTCTTCATTGCCCCTTCCCCTTTCACTGCACCTCTACCTGCCCGAATGGACAAGAGAGAGTTCCTGGTGTGCCCACAGTTTATCCAGCTGGGGAGATGGATAGATGGATGCAGATCTTGGGTGGGCCAGTGCTTCTCCATAGGCTGTCAGGAAAGCTGTGTCCATGGGTGCTGCCTGATGGAGCAGGGAAGCGACTGGGAAACAGGACTCAGGATTACTCTCCCCGGCTCTGTGTCCTGGTTTGGCTGGGATAGAATCATAGGCCACCTATTGGCAGGCTCAAGCCAGATAGGGCAGCTGACCTCAATTAGCTACACATGTAGCCCATCCTGTAATGTCATGGGCATTATAAAGGGAGGAGGTTTAGTGAGGAAAGGGAGCTCTTGTGAGGTTGTTCCTAGTGGAGTTCTTCCTGCTGGTCCTCTACTCCTTTTCTGCTGGGGACTACTCTGCAGTGTATCCTGCTGACAGAATAGTCGTTTGGCTGAGTATTTTCTGTTTGTACTAGTGGTGTTTTCACTAAACCTGTTGTACTTTCACCGAAGGGCTATCTCACCTTTTTCCTGATTCCCCTCCCTGGTTGGTGAGGGTGTATTGGGTGATAGGGCAACTGTTACAGTTTAGCCCTGGTACAGGCTAAACGGAGACACACTGCCACTGATGTGCTGTGCAACCTTTGACAAATTGCTTAGGAAATTGTTTTCAAACAACACTGATACAATTAGGTGCATCTGTATAAAAGTGCCCAGCAAGTCTGAGTAAATGAGCACTTTTGGACTCCAGCCCACTTCTGAGTTTGCAAAATGTTCCCTTCAGCCTCTCTTTGCTTGCTTCACCACCTGTCAAATGGGACTGTTAATACTGACTCAGTCTTTGTACAGAGTTTTAAGCTTCTGAGACTAAAAGTGCATGATAATAAGCGTTAGTAATTTCAGTACTGTCGCTGCATGCAACCAAGTCTTCGGGGACTGGTTTGCTGTTTGAAGGACAGGTAGAAGTCAAAGCTAAGGCACAGAGCTGGTGCTTGGCCCCTCTGGAAGAGGGTTTGGTGTTTTTTGCTATATGGACTACCCTGGAGTTAATTTGAAACTTGTATGCAGGCTGTGGCTTTCTGCAGGTGACACCAAAGAGGGATCCAGCCAGCTGTTTCTTTGTGACAGCCTTGGGAAGTGGGGAAATCAAGGCAGGGGAGGGCCAGGAGGTCACTGCCCAGGGCAGCAAGAGGGCTGAGCTGTGCCTATGTGGAAAGTGTAGGGTCATCCCTTGCAAGGACCTTCGCCCCCTTCTTCTCCCTTCCTCCTGCCGCTAATCTCACAGGACCATGTGGTCACATTTCCTGGGAGGCTGATGCGTCCCACTGCGATGGCATTGTACGGCATGTGCTCGTGCAGCACTGTTGGGCAGACCAGCATCTGGGAGCAAAGAGAGCCAGGAGGACTCAAAGCGGTGATGCTTTATGTGTGCCTGTGCTCCTCTCAGCACCCTGACCCTCTGGGAGCGGTGCCTGTGGGCTGTGAAATAGGCATAGGCGAGCCAGGGCGTCCTGGGGGTATGCATGGCCATGTTACCCCCTGCCCTGTTTCACGCTGGAGACCAGCACCCATTTTATCAACGCCTCCCTCTGATGGTGCTCTTCTCAGTGAGCTGCCTATCAACCCTGGCCACCATCTCTTCTCAGCCACCCAGGAGTTTACTGGGGCTCCCCGGTAGTGTCAAACCCCACCACAACCACATACTCCTGGCTGAAGTGCGGGCACTCCCACTGCCTTTGGGTCTATTTGGGTCATGTCAGGTCCTGATGGCAAGCCTAGTGCTGTCCCCCCCAACTTTTCCCTTCCCCTCCTTGCTACTCCCTGCCTGCATCCCATCCCTCTGCCTTTGCTGGGGGGTGGGGGGTGACTTTGGGGAGCCAGCACCCTGGTGCTCGCCAGCCTCCTCTCCAGCTCGCTGCCACGGGGTCTGCTCCCCAGCCTGCACCTGGCATGCAGCCCCAGTGAGCTCGCACGCTGCCTTGCACCATGTCCATTGCTCACTGACAGCTGTCATCTGCAAAATAGCTTTTCCCCCTTGGATATTAACCTTTTCCCTCTTTTCTTCTCTCTCCCTGTCTTTCTCATGTTCTCTCCCCACAGCCCTGCTTCTCACCCAAGGTAAGTGCTTTTTCTCCTTTCCTCTGCCTCCTCTGGCTGTTTTCATCCCCTTTGGTCAGCCCCCTGCTGTGTTTGTGTTTGTTGTAGACAACCCCAGCTCATGGTGTGTCCAGCAGGAACTAGTTAAGAGCGATGCATTAAAAACGTGACAGTGATTGACTGACATCTAAGAGCATTTCCCACGTTCCAGATTTTTTCCCCATGGTTTTGAGAAATGGCCCAGCCAGGGTTGCAAAGCAGAACATGCAGCTCTGGCTGGTCCAGGGCTGTGACTCGACTCTCTCTTCGGGCAGCTCTGGGGCTTGGTTGTGCTGATGCACCGGGGAGCATGGGGCTTTTCTGCAGGGGCTTGGCGCTCCTGGGGTGCGGGGTGGTGTTGTCTGGGGTGGGCAAGGGTGCAGGGCTGCCCAGGTGACCCCTTCCTGTGTAGGATCAGCCCACGCATCACCCCTCAGTGCATGCACCCGGGTGCTCTCCACCTCCCGTCCTGGGGATGCACCCAGCGCCAGGGCAGTGCTACCAGGGCATGATAAGCACCAGCAACATTTCCCTCCTTACCCTCAGCTCTGGCTCTGCACTCTCCATCTCCTCTCCCCATGGCAGGATTTCATGTGTATTAATACTGAGACCCGCCCCCTTCCTTGCCCAAAGTCCCCGTTACGCCAGTCTGTCTTGATCCCACTGCGGTGCACTGTGTGCTTCCTGTATTGTTCTTATTCCTTCAATTCCAGATATGATTACCGTTGAGTTTGCACTAAAGAAACGTTTGTCAAAAGATAAGGGTGGGCACGCAGGGTGCAGAGAGGAGCTGGAGTTTGACAGATTTGCAAGCAGAGCTGAAAACCAAAGCGTTCATCATGCCTGAGCTGTGCTGCAAATCAAAGGAGCAGCATCTGCCATGCAAGCTTCAGTCTCTGCTCCTTTTTGGACAATGCCAAATGTGCTGCACAGGTGATGGCCCGAGTCCATCGGATATTGGGCTAATTAGGAAATTGCTAGTGGCAGGCAGAAGTCCCCAGCTCCCCAAATAATCAGCTTAGGGAGTTTACGGAAAACTCCTTGGAGCAGTTTGAAGGTTTTCCTTTGTAACTTTTTCAGGTCCAGGAGGACTGGAAATAAGTTGAGCACAGTCTCCTTCCCAGTAATTTCATTGCTTTAATTCAGTAGCTGCCTAATTTGATCAGAACCCCGGGAAACAAATAATTTCTATTAAAATAGCATAACTTTCTTCCCTCTGTTGTGATCCAGCCTGATTGCTTTTGGCAGCCATTATTGGAGAACTTGGTCACCAGCTATGGAAAGTTGCTTTCCAGTTAATAAAGGAAAGCCTCCTCTCTGCCTGGGAAGGGGGAGTCCCTGGGGTGCCCCCCTTGTCAGGCTGCCCCAGGGTGCCCTTCGTGCGTACTTGGCCCAGGCCCGTGGTTTGAGCTCTCGGTGCTTGGCCCCCGCATGCCTTTCAAGCCAGCAGCCGGCCAGTGAGCAGAGCCCCGCTCGCCGCAGAGGCACGTGCTGGAGTGTCACTCAGCAGCAATCACGGCTAATCAGTGGGGAGAGAAGTGACGTCCTCGTTTAGTCTGTGTCATGTTAGATTTAGATTACACGGGCGTGCAGGAATCTTTGTAAAAAAACTTGCATTGTTGAACGTTTCAGTGGAATCTGCTGGTCCCATTCCTCGTCCCCTCCTTCCAGAGCAGCTCACGCAGCTTTTCCCGGGCAGCACCCCTTTCCCTGGGGCTGCCTCCCTGGTACCGCTGGGTGCCCTGGCTCTATGCCGCAGCCCTGGGGTGTTTGCCCTCCTGTGGCATCTCTTTGGCAGCCTCCAGGAGGCCGGTGGCAGCTCACTGCGGTGGCCCTGTCTCTGAAGAAGCCCTGGGGTGCCCTGATGGAGGAGCCCAAGTGAAAATGCCTCTCTTGTCCCAGCAGCCCTTACCTGGGGGTAAATGGGAGATCCTGGCTCTGCCCACCCGCTGCCTTGCAGAGCGCTCCCTGGGAAAACAGGGCTGTGGATTTTACACAAGGCAAAGTAACTGGGTAGGGGAGAGGCTATGGCCCAGGCTCAGCTCAGCATTTGTTTCCTCCAAATGGGCTCTCTGGGCTAGACTTGCAAGGCTGCGCAAAACTTTTGAAAGACTTGCTTGGCCAAGCATCCACTACCAGCTGTTGGGATGCAGAGGACCATGGTAATATGTGGTGGCTGTGGAGTGACTTGAGAGTCAAACTTCTCTGATGCATAACCTTTTGTATTGGCCCTGGCAACGATTTCTCTGTATACTCTTTATATGGGGAAATACTCAATACCAAAGTGCATAGCTACTGTAGTTGTCCCTGCCATTGCCAGCAGTGGACGAGCTGTTCTGGTGGTCTTTCCAGCCTTTGCAAAAGCCTTTGCTTGCAAGTTCTTGGGCTCAGGAGGTCCAGATCTTTAAAGGGATGAGGAATTATCTAAATACTTCTCTACCGTCATTTCCACATATTCACCCAGATCAAAGCAAATATTTCTAAATATGTTTGTTTATTGATGCATTAAAACTCCTGGGTCCACTTTGCAGTGGGAAAGACTGGGGAGCAGAGTCGCCAGTTGACTGGCCCGTCGGGGACAGTTGTGTCAACAGCAATCTCAAGGCAGAGCCAGCAGTGGAATAATGCGCAGTTCCCAGCCCTGTGCCTTAGCCTCCCTCTCATGAATGTGCAGCGTTTCCAGTTAGCGTTAAGGATGCTGGGGCATGTATACGAGATCTATCACGCCTCAAAAAATAGCTTTCAGGGCTAAGTAAGCAGATTCCTCCCTTTTTAGAAAGCAGCCCAGGCTGCCGGTGCTTGTGCATGTGTTCCAGTAAAGGGCATGTCCATATGCTAACCTCAAAAGCCAGAGTGTCTTTTAGCCAGCAGTCTTCCCCAGTTGTGACTGATGCCTTGACAGCGCTCTGGAGAGAGGAACTCATTCATGCTCACTGTTTACTTTGTTTAGCCAGGATCATATTGTATTGAGCCACAACAAAAAAAATTCCCATTTTAATTGTCGTTCTAATTTCTTCCTAGCAGCACAGTCCCCGGAAGGGGTGACCTTCATGCAGATACATGCCTGCTCTAGAAATGGATGGAGATGAGATCGCTCGAGGGGTGTGAAATGGCCTTCATAGCAATCTTTCATGAATACATTGCTGGTTTTAATCCAATATATTCAGCAAGCAACAGGGAATACAAACTGGTCCGTGACTGTTTGGTAGTCTTGCAACATTACCTAGGTGATGGGCATCTACCTCTCTGACGGTGTTACAGGGCTTTCCCGTTGCCTGTTTCAGCTCAAAAGGTGCAGTGGACAGATTACCCTGTGGAAATGAGCTTTAGCTAACTTTGATTAATGATGTGACCAGGAGGCCACAGGCAATGTCCAGTTCCCATTTGATCCCCCCAGTCTGAAGGAGGTTGAGCAGGCAAGCACTCACGTAGTACCCTCCAGGAGCAATGCATGATGTGGGAACACTGCTCAGTGCTCCCCTTTCCCATGGAAGAAATAAGAGAAGGAGGGGACCTGCTTACAGTATTTTGAGCCCAAAAAACTGCCTGTGATGTGTAGGTCTAAAAGCGCTTTGCAAATAGCTGCAGATCAAGTCCCAGCATGGCCCTGTGGGCTTAAGTCATTGTCATGGGGGTGACAGAACTAAGGAGTGACCGTGACAGGGACATGCCCAGGGCTGCAGAGCACAGCAGTGGCAGGACCATAACTAGGAGCTGCTGGCCACGGTCGTCTGTCCTACCTTTAAGGGTCTGAAATTAATGAGGCAGAATAAGTGAGAGCACAGAGTGGTTTAACCAAAAACCTCTCCTTGCTTCCTGCAGGCGGGTGTTGGGTGCAGTGCCTAGCAGGTGTCAGCGGTGGCCATTGCTACAGCCTGGGCAAAAGCAGATTTCATTCTCGCCCAACCCTTGATCTTACCAGACCTGTTGTCTCCCCTGCTTGCAGCATCTCCTCTCTGGACTTGTGGACTCCCTGGCACAAGGAGCAGAGTTCCTTGGTGCAGCAGCCCCAGCTTGCCTAGCCTTAGCAACCTGTGCATGCTCCTGTAGCCCAAATAGGTTGCTAGCACGCAATGGTAGCACACACCTATGTACTGGAGCAGGCAGGGTTCAAGGGACCCCTTTCTCACCACCTTCCCCTTCCCAGGGAGGAGGTAGAGGCAGCCCAGGAGGTCCTGGCAAGCTTCTGTTCTTGCTGGGCATAGCCAGACCTTATCGGGCCTAATTGGGGTTGACAGCAGGGAGTCCAGGGTGCAATCCGCATTGAAAAGTAGGTACTGATGCTGATACAAACAGAAATCAGGCTAGTTAATAATTAAGCTGCAGCTTGGCAACATTCACCTTGACAGACTTGACCTTCCAAATTAAAAATCTGTCTCCCCCCGCCACCCCTTGTGTTTTATTTATCACAGCCCTTGGTAGTCTTCTTTACAGGCTACTGCACCAGGGTGATGTGTGACACACCTCACTGATGCCCTGTCCCTGCTTCCTGGAGGAGCCCTCCAAGATCCCAGCCCTATACCCACCCAGTGCCTCAGGAGGTGGGAGCCTGTGGCTACCACAGACCCCATGGGAGCATGCCCCACTCTTGCTGCAGAGACTGCAGCTGCCTGCAGCTCTGAAGGCAGGCTGATGCACCCTGCTGCTGGCTGAAGTGCCTCCCTGAAAGGCAGGAGCATTGAGAGTGTACTCTGCCACTGGGATGTTGCAAGAGTTTATTCCTGCTCAGCTGTTGGATCCTGTACCCAGGGGGCTCAACTCAGTCCTAAGCATCCCAGATATAGATAGACCCATCAGGCCTGGAGCAGGTTCAGGTCGGGGTCTGGTATTTTGCAGAGGTTGACACTGATTCCTGCTACAGGGTGCTCAGGTGTCCTAAACGGTGGGTGGGGAGAAGGGCGGATTCATGTAGGTGCTTTGTATTGGTCTTTGGAGGTGCCTAGCTCTCCCCCTTAACTGTATGTATGTAGGCTGGGGCAGTGATATGTCAACTGGGCTCCTAAGTTTGTCCTTCCTGCCACAAATGGCACTGCCTTAGCTTAAGGGGACACTCGGCAGCCTGGTATTTGGCAGTCATTTGCACAAGTGCATTGAGCAAGATCCAGCACAATATTGGCATGTGACTCTTAATCTGTGTTTGTCTCCTACATTAGGACAGAGGTTCGGTGAAAATACAGTAATGGCAGGTTAAGTGTTTTCAGATGCATCGTTGAAGTTTGTTAGGGTTCTGTGCTTGGCTTTTCCTGTTGCACATTCACAAATGTGGCTGCTTTTTAATGAGGCATGGAGGAATTACCTCCTTATTCGTTATGTGCAGGCTTCCTCTATTAACATTTCTGCAAGGTACCCATTTGGACATGCTGCCTATGCCTGTTCTTCTGCAGTTTGCTTGCAGCTGACATTAAAAGATAACCTGGCAGTGGTATTCAGTCAGCTGCCCCCATAGGACATCCTTGATGTGCCTTCTTGGGCGACCGTGTTTCTTCTTTCTGTGCCCCAGTTCACTGTATTCACCGCAGAGGAGCTGCATGGTGGCAGCAGGGCCTCCATTATTCATGTCTCGGTGGACGTGCTGTCAGCAGGCTGCAGGTCTCCATTGCTGGTCAGCTTGTCCCTTCACTGCGAGTGGCCTGCCTAGGGCTTGAAGGTGCCTCTGGTGGCACTTCTTCCACTGGCAAGGTGCTCTCTGACATAGCATGAATCCCACAGGCCTTCAGTGCTCTGGTAAACACCAGCACCTTTGCTTTGGTGGAGTGCCCAGTCCCACGCTCACGCTGCATCCAGCCCCCAGGCTACCAGAGCAATCTGTCCACTCTTGGACATGGACATGTTGCTTGGTTTACTCTAAGAGCTGCCTGGCAAGTGATTGCCATGCTCGTCAAATCAATAGGTGATCCACAAGTGGCTTGCAGAGACAAGGAAGCCACTTACTAGCAGCCAAAGGTCCTGCCTCTGGCCACGGACACAGGCGTTCCCATGCAGCCTGCCCAACAGCCTTGGGCCCAGTGCACAGTGAGATGAGACGCAGGAGATCCTCCTCAGAGGAGGGTTTTGAGTCTTGCACTGCCTGCCTGGCACAGGTACATAAACCGGCATGAGCAAGATGCCAGATTCTGAGATAAAGCTGTGTTGGATGCAGCTCCCTACGGTGAGGAGAATACTTTCTGCACTGTGTGTGCTTACGGACCTGCCTGCAGCGCAGCCTTGCCTAGATATTTAATATTTGCATGAGACTCAATGTTGTCTTACCATGCTAAAGGCCTTTGTCAAATCAGTTAAAGTGAGGACTAAGGTTTCATTGCATCATTTCTCCTGGAGTTGTTAAGCCGAGGAAATTCTGCCTGGTATTCCCCATTTTCAGGGCAGCTCCTCTGATTCCAGACATTTTTTTTTTCTGTGCTGTGCAACTGCATCCAGTGGGCGGGAGCCCAAGGGACTGTGCCGCCAGCTGCGACTGCAGCTTTTGAGAGGTAGTTACTTCCCAGCAAAGGTTGTAGTGAGCCAGACTGTCACCAAGTCCGGACTTTGCAACCCTGCTGGGATGGCTGCTGTGCTTTTCCTTAGCTCAGTATTGTCAGCAAATGTCAGCAGCTGCTTGGCTCATCTGCCAAGCTGGGCTTTGCAGAGCTGAGGGTGCCCCCTCCCCTGGGCTTCAGGTTATGGGGGAGCTAAGATAGAAGCAAGCCACATATGTGGTATGGCAGCTGATGTGTAAGCACCTGCATTTTCAATGATGGATACAGCTTGTCATTGTCATACACTTCCAGGCAGAGGCAGAGACTGGACTTTCTCAATCTCTGTCCTGGAAAAAGACATAGATTTCATCTAACTCCCTGCTCAAGTGAATATATGTAACTTGAAGCTTGTTCTTGATAATTGTCAGTTCATGTCTCCAAGTGTAGCATAAGGCAGCATGTTTTGTCCAAGTTCACCCATTTCTGCACTTCTCCAGCTCAGCTGCCTCGTCTTCTCTGTTCTCACTTGGTCTTTGCCTGCAGTTGCCCCCCCATCCCCTGGCATCCTGCATTGCCCATCTTCTTCTCCAGGTGCTGTGCTCCCCTGTCTCATTTTTTTATAAAGTTCTGGGGATTCCCAGATCCAGAGTACACTGTCTTTGAGCCAGGCAGTGATGGTTTTGATGTACATCATTCATTTCAAATGATGGATGCAGCTGTTTCTGCTTCTGTGATGGGTTGTAATAGTGTCACCTGCCACAGGAGTTATTATATATTTCATAAACTCTGCAGGTCTTGCAAGGCTTACAGTCTTTGCAATCAGTCTAGCTGGATTGATGAAGAGAAGGCAGAGTTTATAACTAGATTTCACTGGGACTTTATAATTTCTGTGTGATTTTTGGTGCAGAATATGAGATCTGCTGGAGCCTACATTTGAGGCATTACTTGGCATGTTTGTAACCTCTACAGGAAAACCTTGGGTAACATCTGACCCACTGCTCAGCCAGAACAAGATGCTCTGCCTTTGTGATACCCCCCCGCAGGTTCTGCAGAGCTCCAGCTCCCGCTCACAGGCTCAGCTGGGCCCTGTGCTGCAGCTCATATGCCCCAACTGGTCAGGCACAGGAAAGCCAGGGGAAACCCAGCTTCTTCCTTGAGATGTCAAGGCCTTTCAGAGAGCCCATCAGCACGTGCCTGCACTTGGGTGTGTAAGTGGGAGGGGAGACCTGAGTCAGGGCTGGGGACAGTGATAAGACACCCTTCCTGCTGGTTAGGGTGCTGCTTCCCATCCAGGCAACCAGCGGGCACCTCGCTGGGTTTGATGGGGCAAGGTGAGCCCAACACAGGGTCATCTTAGCTGACCTCGGGTCCTGGTTTAGCTTCCTCCAGCGGAAACTAAACATCCAGTAACATGAAAGGACCTTCGGCTGCTAGCCAGTGGCTTTGTTGTGGCTTTGTTATCTCCGTTTCCTGACTTTCTTCCTGTTCATTCTTCCAAGCACTAGGAACGTATTTCTGTGTGCGTGTGTGTGGTTGTGACTGCGTGTGTCTGTCTGAGCATTAGATCAAGCACTGAGTGGCACAGGGTGCCAGCAGTGATTTTCTAATCAAAGGGGGATAAAAAGATCCTGTCTCTTGTTCATTGAAACCAGGAAACATGCCAGGGCATTAAAGCTGTCTTAAAGGACGCTTGTGCCAAGTGGCAGAATGAATCGGTACCTTGGTCTCCCCAAAGATGTGGCTGCTGCAGGGATGATGGGAGGGCATATGTCATCCAAGAGCGCCAATGCAGGCTGAAGAAACATTAGGGGTTTTTTTAAAAATAGGTTAAAACCACATTGTGTATGTTCTTGGTGACTGATATTCAGAAATCTTGGTCCTTTGTTTCTCTGGTCCAACACCCCACCACTGCCCCCCCCAAATTACCATGTGAGCTTAGCAAGCTGTGAAGGGGCTGCAGAAGCCCTTGCTCAGGCCCTGCAGACAAGCCCTTGTGGTGCCCCGGTGCTCCAGGGCTGCTGTCTACAGGTTGGTGTTGACCTTGCTTTCACAGAGGTGGCTGAGAGGAAGCTGACGGTTGAAGAGGAGGAAGCCAAGAGGATTGCAGAGATGGGCAAACCAATACTCGGCGAGCATCCCAAACTAGAAGTCATCATTGAGGAGTCCTATGAGTTCAAGGTCAGTAGTTGTCCTAGGGATCCTCCAGGAAGGGAAGGCCATGTGGCACTGAAGAGCAGTCATGGAGAGCAGGACTGAGGAGGCAGGGGGTGGCTGCACGTGCAACGAAAGGGCTGCTGGAAGATGAAAAGGAGTATGCAATGCAGTAAAGGGGGCAGGAGACCTAAAAAAAATGCCAGGGGAAGTAGCTGCTGGTACGCAGAGGTGGAGGGAGGAAGACAAGGGAGCCCTGCTGGAAGCAGAAGGAGCTGGTGTGCAGGACAGGGCAGGAGCAAAGCTGTTTCTGGTGAGGCGGGGAAGGAGCCTCATCAGGATTAAGAGGTGGCAAACAAGCCGGCTCTGGTGAGGTTTGGGTCAGCCTGTCCAGGGAGGAGGTGGGCCCAACTCCAGTGATGGCCTCATCTGACTGGTAGGAGAGTGCTTGTGGCACTTGCATAGTTTGGGAAGAGTCTTTGAAACCATAAAGCACTGCAAGATCAGCCTTGCCCACTAGCAGAGGGTTTAATTGCTGTGCATCTTTATTCCCACAACAGAGCACCGTGGACAAGCTGATTAAGAAGACAAACCTGGCTTTGGTTGTAGGAACACATTCCTGGAGGGACCAGTTCATGGAGGCCATTACCGTCAGCGCAGGTGAGGGGGACATCAGAAAACCCACAGCAGGAACTGCAGGGTTCATGCAGCATGGGATGAGATCTGTCTGGGCTCAGGACACAGCATCTGCCTGGTCAGCGGTGCTCAGCTGTTGTGTGCATGGTGGCTGTCAGCAAAGCTAGTCCAAAGAGCTCCTCTGCTTCAAATATACTGGGCTTTTGCAGATGCATTAGCCAGGAACCCAGGAGATCCATCTTTCAGTGCAGAGCCATCAGGAGGACAGTTTTCAAAGACTACATATGCTGGCAGTGCTCCTGCTGCTTCAGTGGTCTGATGAGCAGCGTATAGGCAGCAAAATCCCATCCTGGCTGGGCTGCTGGCTCCTGATGTGGTCAGTGCCATCCTGTTCATGTAGTTCCTGCTGCTGGAAGATGTCCTGTCTGCCATGGCCAGTAGAGTCTCTGGGAGTAGAGAGGGTTACGACATGTGGACAGGAGATGTTGCCCCACGAGGCAGCAACTGGTAGAGGGAAAGGCTCAGAGACCTGCCAGATGTTGCCCAGGGAGCCTGAGACTTCACTGCTTCCAGCTGTGGAGCAGACATTTTAGGCATGTTAATGCCATTAATGATACTCGGGCACCTTTCTGAACCTTTCCTTGATGGTTTGGCATCTTCCTCGAAGGCCTGTTTTCCACCCAGCTGTAGTGCAGGCAGCCACAGGCAGGCAGTTGGGTGGGAGCTGTTGCCAGTGGCTACAGGGGCAACTTCTGACACAAAGGAAGAGATGCAGGATATTCAGTTTTCTTCTTTGTAGCAATTAAGAGAAACTGCTTCTGTGGAAACAGTACCTCCAACCTTGGAGGAATGTTTTTTTTCCCAGGCCTGCTTCTCTCTTCCTCTGTCTCTCTCCTTCCCTTGCCATCTGCCCTGTGCTCCATACCTGCTTTCTTTTCCTCCAGTTTATTTCCATTGTCCTGTATCTGTACAAAGACCAGCAACGCTTCCAGCCTTGGGGCTGACCTGGCCCACCAGGCTAAGGAGAGGACCCGCCCAAGGGCCTTCAGTGCTGCTGCTGATAGTCTTGCACAGATGAGAAATGTCTTGCTGGGGTGCTGCTGGTGACCAGTCCCAGCCTGAGCTCTGGAGCAGGAGGACTAAGCGGTCTCTCCAGTTTCCCAATTCTATCACTTTGTGCTATTTATCACCCAAAACATCACTTGCCTATGTAACTTCATGGTGCCACTCAACAGTGATCTTCACAGGCTGACTATGTCCTACACAACTGCCTGTGGATGGGGACAGGGCTGCCCCTCTGTGGGTACAACACACTACCCTGCCACTCCCCAGTCCTGCCACTCCCCAGCCCTGCAGGCTCTGGGGTGTCCCAGGAGGCACCCCTCTTGCCAAGCCTTACCTATCACTGAGGGACTGGGTGTGCCCTGAGCCTGCTGCCGTGGACAGCACCATGCCACCTTGTCCCAGGAGAGCAGCATCCTTGGAGCCCTGGGATGGGGAGGGACAAGCATGGGCTGCAGCCCACCCCCATAATCTCGACCTGCCCCATTATGAGCACTGGACCTCACCTTCCACATTGTTTGCAGCGGGTGATGAGGATGAGGATGAGTCCGGCGAGGAGCGCCTGCCGTCCTGCTTTGATTACGTGATGCATTTCCTGACCGTCTTCTGGAAGGTGCTGTTTGCCTGCGTGCCCCCTACTGAGTACTGCAACGGCTGGGCCTGCTTCGTCGTCTCCATCCTCATCATCGGTATGCTCACGGCTGTCATCGGCGACCTTGCCTCCCACTTCGGCTGCACCATTGGCCTCAAGGATTCAGTGACCGCCGTCGTCTTTGTCGCCTTTGGCACTTCTGTACCAGGTGGGGTGGCTGCAGGGAGGGGATGGGGTGGGAGGAACGTTCTCCAGTGGCTCTCCTGTCCCCAGGGGAGCAGCTCTGTCATGGGATGGAGTTCAAGCTGGGAAGAGGCTCCACAGAGCCCTGTCCCCAGGCAAGGTCTGCACACCATTTGGTGGCAACATGGGGTCCCTACACCCAGGAGGGGGGTTGTGCACCAGGAGAGGTCCATGTTTCAACCTGGTTGGCGCCACGGCTGAGCCTCCCTTGTCCCCGAGACATGAAGGGTTGCCCATTTCTCCTGTTGGACCCCCAGTGATTTCTCCTTCCTACCTCCCCCAACCCCAGACACATTCGCCAGCAAAGCCGCAGCCATCCAGGATGTGTACGCCGATGCGTCCATCAGCAACGTCACAGGCAGCAATGCCGTCAACGTCTTCCTGGGCATCGGGCTGGCGTGGTCAGTGGCAGCAATCTACTGGGCATCACAGGGGCAGGAGTTCCAGGTGTCAGCAGGCACCCTGGCCTTCTCCGTCACCCTCTTCACCATCTTCGCCTTCATCTGCATCAGCGTCCTCCTCTACCGCCGGCGACCTCACCTCGGGGGAGAGCTGGGTGGCCCTCGGGGATGCAAACTGGCCACGACGTTGCTCTTTGTCAGCCTCTGGCTGCTGTACATCCTCTTCGCCACCCTGGAGGCCTATTGCTATATCAAGGGGTTTTAGGCGGTGGAGGGACAGTGCCGCTGGGGGGAGGGACCCCCTCCTCCATTACCTCACTGGACACAGGTCCTGAAAGCGCGGTTTCACCGGAGGAGATGGCTGTCTGTCAGAGGCCGCCGCTGCCCATACAGTCAGATGGCTGGGCGCCAAGAAGGGCGAAACCATCACAGAGTGAAAAAAACAAACAGACAAAACCCACTTAAAAATGGTACAAAAGAAAAGAAAGCAATGATGAAGTGTTGAACTAAACCAAAACACAATAAACCCACCCACTGACCCCATTCAATGAGATTACAAAGTTTCAGCCGTCTCCAAAGGCCACTTCTCCTGTAGGGGCTTTTCTCCTTTCCTCCTGAGCACCTCTCCGCTGTAACAAGATATTTTCTTATTTTTACTGGTTGGGAATTGCAGAAATCTGATCAGGAATTTGTGGGGGTTTTTTCTTCTTTTTTTTTTTTTCATTTACTTTTTGCTTTTTGGTTTTGGGGGAGCACGCTGCTTGATTATATTTTTTTCTTTTTTTACTACTTAAACAGAACAATGTTAAAAATTTAAACTCTAAAGCTTCAAGCTGCCATCAGTGCTGGAATTGAACATACGTATTTTCTTTTTTTTCTAAAGCCACAAAAGACTGTGACACAGTCAAAGAACTTTTTCACGACTATCTGTTCCCTCCACCACCACTTTCCATTTCTTTCTTTTTTTAAGATCACAAGACTGATATATTTTTAATACAAAAACACAGACACACATTTAGTGACAAAGGCTGGAGCATGTAGCATCTCAATCACCTGCCTGGGCTAAGAAAAAAAGGAGGAAAAAAAAAAAAAACCAACCCTCTAATATAATACTTATCATGTATATTTTGACTATGGCATTTCTCTTTGTATAATTAACTTGAAGCTTGTGGTACTTCAGGGAGAGAAAATTATGTTAATTTACAACTGATAAAGAAAGAAATGGCTACCTAGGAATAGCCTGCCCTGGGGGGAGTAAGGGGGCCAGGGAAAGTGGTACCAGCTCTTGGGGGGGGTGGGGGGGGAAGGTGGTCCTACTGTTGGGAGGTGGAAATGAAGTTGGGAGAACTCGGGCAGTGTGCCCATATGTTCCCAGCGCCATCCCACCCCGAGCTGTGGCGTGGCTGCCCTTTCACTCGTTTGCTGCCCCGGTTTTCACAGCACCCACATCTTGCTGGTGGTCTTCAGGCCATTGAAAGGTACAGGCTTAAAAACTGCTGCCCACATCAGGACTCCTGCGTCATCTCGAGTACCTTTTAGGAACACCAGAGAGATGAAAAGGCATCCTTTTCATTTGAAGTGCATTTCTTTTTAAGGAAAAAAAAAAACCCACCATGAGAGTATGTCATGAATTACATCAATGGCTGCAAATTGAAATGCTGGGTTGGTAATAAAAATAAATAAAAACTATACCTGTATCTATATAAACAGTGCTCTCTAGAAACATATTTCTTAATTGAGAGTCCTGGAAGAGGTTGTTAAAACCTTACTCTTTGTAAAGTGTTTTCAAGATGAAGATGGTTTCTTCTGTCAAGAAATAGGTGCTGTAAAGGGAAACATTTTCTTCGTAAAGTTCCCTATAATAAGCCAAACCTTGGGAGGCAGCAAGTAAGGGAGGGGCTGCCAAAAGGTACATCTGTGCCTGCTGCAGTGCTTTCTGCTGCCCCAGGGGGCAGGGAGGAGGTGTCCGCAGGTTAGGAAAGATGCAATGGGAACAAGGTTGTCATGGAAAAAACATGATGTAGCATTATAGCAGGTGAGTAGGTGGGAGTGGCAATGGTCCTTAACACACAGATGAAGTATTTATTTTCATACAAAAGGTTTATCAGATATCTGTATCTCTATATAAATGTGTATACAGGTAAGGCAAAGAAGAAGGATCCTTCTGAAGAGAAGCAGCAGGAGCTTTGCTGGTGGGAGCCCGCTGTGGGTGAAAGCTGTTGGGTTGGACGCCAACAAGCATCCGATCTCCTTCCTCCTTGCCCTCCCTTCAGCATGCCTTTGGGGAAACGCCTGAAAAAGACAGGCAAGAAACTCCAAGGCCAGGCTGCTGCTGAGCTTGCCGGTCCTCCTGGCCTCCAGCTGTGCCAACAGCTACCGAGAGCAGCTGCTGCCGCTGCTGGCCGCCACCGCCAGCCGGGGACCCCTGAGCTCATGCGTGTGACACTGAAAAAAATTATAAAAGCCTCCAAATGCTGTCTGTGGGGGTTTAAAGTGCAACTCTCAAGGGGAGGTTGTTAATCGTTGCTGGTTTTGATTTGGACATATAAAGTCTTGTGAGATTTTATTTTACCCGTGCCGGCTCACCCACCCCTGGGTGAAGCCTGGCCTGGGGAGCTGCCATGCTGTTCTTCTGTTGCTTGTGCTGTGTCGACCATGTGCTTTTCATCCACTTCCTTCTTCAGCTGACAGCAGGGAGGGGGCGCAGGCAGAGACTGGCTGCCATGAATGCCAACTACATGGGGACCCTGGTGACCTCCATCCATGAGGGCAATCTGCGCCAGGCTGACAACAGCCATGGAATGTTTCTTTCTTTTATTTTTTTACTTCATTAAAAAAAAATATGCAAGCTAGGAAAAAAAAAATGAGGTTTGATGCCTTTGGGGATTTTTATTTGGGTTTGCTGAGGCTTTTATGTTTCGTTTTGGGTCTGGCTATCTGCTTCCTCCTGTTTTCCTTTGGGCAGGTGCCTTGACTTGGTCACACTGTCTCTGGCTGGTTTGCCCTGCCATGGCACAGGGGCATAGTCTAAGGGCCACGCACGGTGCAGGACCAGTGGTACCTCTGGCTGCCTTACCACCGCT